TGTTGCATATTTATTTTCTTCCACCTTCAATATTAAGATGTACAAAAATTTACTAATTTTGATGCTTTTTAAAAATGCATGCTGATATGATAACTGTCACAATACAACCTAATGAAATTGTTTCAAAAGAAGTTAAAAACAACTAAGTACTACTAGAGCAATTATATGGAAGAAAACATAATGAACTTTTGGGCCAACCCAATACTATAACTACAGTAACCAAGATAGTGTGGTATTGATGAAGAAACAGACAAATAAATGACTATAACAGAACAGAATGCACAGAAATAGACCCACACATATGTGGTTGATCACTTTTTGGCCAAGTGCGAAGGCAATTCAATGGAGATCTTTTCAACAATTAGTACTAGATCAACTGGGTATTCTCATGGGGAAAAATGGACCTTGACCCCCTACTTCACACTATACACAAAAATTAACTCAAAATGGATTATAGATGTGAAACCTAAAACTATAGATCTTCTAGAACAAAATATTAAAGACAAGTTTTGTGACCTTGAGATAGGCAAAGATTTCTTAGATATGGCACAAATAATCACAAAAGAAAATTTGATAAATTGGAATTTATCAAAATTAAAAAGAATTAAATTTATCATTAAGAGCATGAAAAGACAAGCCACAAATTGATACACATGCAATACATGTATGAGGCAAACGGCTCATATCCAGAATACAAAAATAACTTATTTTATCAACAATAAAACAGAAACTTCCACTCTCTTTTCACTCCTAAAAAATGAGCAAAAGATTTAAATATTTTACCATAGGATATATACAGATGGCTAATAAATATATGAAAAGATGCTCAACATCAGGTCATCAAGGAAATACAAATCAAAATCACAGAGGGAAGCCACTATATGGATGGCTAAAATTTAAAAAATATGACTATACCAACTGATGGTATTCATGTTAGAGAATTGAAAGCCTCACATATGGCTGGTAGAAATTTAAATTTTTAGAAAACAGTTAGGTAGTCTCTTAAGATATTAAACATGTATACCCATTTTACCAAAAATAAAAACATATGTCCATAAAAAGACTTATAGTCAAACTTTCACAGCAGCTTCATTTTAAGAGTCATACATTGGAAGTAATCTATGTCTATCAAATTGTGAGTGGATAACAAACTGTGGTATAGGTATAGAATGGACTACAACTCAGCAATAAAATGTATGGAGTAATGGTACACTCAATAATATGGGTGAATCTCAAAATCATTAAAGTAAATAAGTGAGTAAAAGAAGACAGAAATAGTACATATGCTATAATTCCATTTATATTAAGTTCTAGAATATACAAACTAATCTATAGTGTTTGGAGATGAAGAGCATGAGGAAAATTTAGGTTTGAGGACAACATATGTTATCTTGATTGTGGCAATAGTTTCATAGGTGTATACTTATGTCAAAACTTACCACATTCTACACTTCAAATATACACAGCCTATTGTACATCAAGTTGTAAAAAACAGAAAATTATATACATTTGTTATACAATTTAGAAGTCACTGAAAAATATAATATAGAAAAACAATCAAAGAAATGAGTGCACATTCCCTTTGATTCAGCAAGTCCAGGTCTGAAATTTTATTCTGTAGAAACAAAAGCACCAATGAGTTAGAGAACAATTATAACAAGGTTGTTTATAGAATCAAAAACAGAAACAACTTAAAATACTCCTCATTAGGGGAAAAGATTAGTAAGCTATCAAGGACTATTACGTAGTCATTAAAAGAATAAACTTTATGCATATGCTTCAACTTGGGAGGATGTTTCTGCAGTATATTTAAGTGAAAGACAAAACACATATATATTACTGTTCATATTATTATGAAATGGCATGGGATAGATGGACAGGTGGATAGGTATCCATAGATGGATGGACAGGTAGATTGTCTACATATGTGCTTTCATGTATGAACATATTAAATTTTTATGACTGGCTGGGCTAGACAGTCTCTGGAGAAAGATTTTTCACCCATTTATGAATTATTTAACTTGTAAAAATAAGTATGTTTTACTTTTATTCTTTAAAAGTAAAAAATTAAAATAAAATAAAGGGAAGATTCAACCTGCTTTGAAATGCATCCAAAAAATATGTTGGGTTTGAGGGTTAGAGAGGGGGTCAAAGAGACCAAAGTAAGATAAAGAAAGGATAATGAAATGTCAGTGGCAGAATAGAGGTAGATAGCACATGAATATTTACTGTACCACTTGAAAATGTCCTCTATGACCTTTGAGAAAAAAACTAACTTGAGATGATGATGATGATTGATGATTGATGATAGATAGATAGATAGATAGATAGATAGATAGATAGATAGATAGAGATGTGCATGAGTAGGTAGGTGGGTGGATAAATAACTAGACAGACAAGGCCTCTCACCACAGCAAAAAGTGAATTCATAATGTGACAGGTGACTTGCTTCGTCCTGTATTGATCAAGCTCCAGGTATGCTTTTTTTGACCATCCCAACAGCACACCTTCTGAATCATTTAATCTTATGCTGCAGGGTGTGCTCTAGAGTGAATTCTAAGACTGAGCAATACATAGATCTATGAAAGGTTTGGAGACTCAGAAGCACCTGGTATCCCAGGGTCATAAGGGCAACCCCTGCCTCTTGGAATATCTCTTCCCAATCCACAGAGGAGCCCTGATCACAGGCCACCACTCACCAATTCCTATAGAGTTCTCAGATTTTTCATTACCTGCTACCACTATTACAAAAATACTGTGAAGTTTTTCTTCTCTTAAGAAAGCCAAGGCACAGAGTGGTCATGTCACCTAATTTGGGTCTCTACCCTAGAAAGCAGTAGAGTTTCAGTTTCACACTCCTAAGCTCACACTCTTGACACTTCTTCCCATGTGGCTGTTTGTACAGGTGAAGGGGAGGCAGGACTTCTGTCTCCATCCCAACTCCAAACTCAACCTCACAGATCATACTGGAACTCTCTGTAGCCTCTGGGCCAATGGCCAGAAGGGCCAGTGGGAAGATGGACGGAGCCACTTGGATCCCAGTCTGGGACTTGCACAGAACACACTCTCCTCAGCTGCTGCCACCTGGGGGCCAGGACAACCTAGCTCCTGAAAAGTAGAAACCACTCTGGGGGCAGAATTTTCTCCCACTAAGCCCAGACCATACCCAAGGAGGACTAGTTGCTTCTCGTTGCAGGCACTATCTAACTTATGCAACCCAGTGACTCATAACAAACTCCAGTTCAGGGTCTCCTCCATAAGGCTCTGGGCCATTCACATCAATCAAAGCACAGCAATAGTTCCAGGCATCTCATCCTGAGACTGCATTTTAATAAGAGTCCAGGGGAAACACATTCCTCCAAAAGAGACTTGCTCCAGTTAACCTTCACAGCTACCTTTCCTGATCCACGGGCTCTGCCTGGGGCCAAGCAGTGATGGGAAAGTATCCTCAGAAGATCAGAATGCTCAGAGCTGATTCCTCATATGAAGTGGCGCAGAAGGACCAGTTTTTGCAGTGGGAACTAAGGAGGCTTATTATTATTTTTATAAATCAGACTCATTTCATTGGCTGCAAAAGGTGGAGTGATGTGACCATATGTCACCTGGGTATTAAACAAATCCTAATGAGCTAAAAATATGTTTCTTTTAGCTAATTGACCTCTTTGGCCTTCATAAACCACTTGGTAAACATCCTCAGATAATGAGTTCTAGAGAGCAGATTGCGGCTCTCAAGTATGCTGAGAAAGACTCCCACCTTCGTCCCCTAGGCCACCTCCTCTGGCTGCCTGCTGAGGCACACATGTTGCCTGCCTGCTGTCTGCACACCATACGAAGTGTGTCCTGGAGATGACAGGGAGAAGTGAGAGGAACAGATCCAGGCTACTTTCCTGGATCTGTCATAGGGCGCTTTCCCAAATGTGTGATCGTGATTTGAGTGGTAGTTGTCTCCAAGCCATAGTTGTCTCATCTGTTAAGTGAAGGAAATGCCCAACCCTGGAGGGATACAGAGAAAACATGGGGGTTCTAAGCTGTAGGCAGGACCCACATCACTTCTGTGTGAAGGAGCAGGAACTGGGAACATGAGGGTCCAGCAGTTGATTCAGCAGTTGATGCATGTGTTTCATGTAAGTGAGGAGAGTAATCTAGGTATCAGTGAGGCCTGGAACCACAGGGACCCAAGTCCTACTACTCAGTTCTCCCTGTGAGTAGTGGGCAGTGGACCAAGCTCTCAACCAATATAAGGATGGATGCTCCTCAGATCCAAACTAACTTCATCTGACCTGGAATCACTGGATCCATGTTGTCCTCACTCACCAAACCCCCCACTGAGGTCTAGACATGTCATTCCTATCATTTGAAAACTGTTGGGAGGAACACTTTTGTTCTGTGGAGGCATTAACAGGACATAGGAATAAACTTCAAGCCCCGAAGTTGATAGGGCCCTAGCACTCAACCTCTGCACTGTCTGAGGAGATGACCTTACAGGCTCCTTCTCTCCACCCCTACATCCTCCCACTTACTAAACTGTTTCTTCAGCTATAAAACAGAGTTAATATCTAATAGGGAGACTGTATCAGTAATTGAGTGCTTCCTTCTTGCTTGATAGTGTGAAGAACTTTACACATGTTTTCTCATTAATCACACAATAAGTCCTAAGTCCACAGAATAAAGAGTGGCAGAACCAAACCTCCAACAAATTCCCCCTAATTCTAGAGGCATGGATTACCCAGTGCAGTGGGCAAATGCTATTTACTTGCAAGTTAATAACTCCACTTTGCAAGGAATACCATCAGCCTATAAAGCTACCACCAACCCCAAATAAATGGTATTTATTCAAATTATTAGGCATAGCGGTGACACAATGAGATTCAACATAGCTTCTGGGTCAAACCGCCCCTTCTGTCCAGCCCTCAAGGCTGATGAGCTTGAATTAGACAGGATTAAAGGATTACTGGAGGTGGAAGCTGCACCCCAACTCCCACATTTAGCCTCAGGCCTTCTGTCTGCCAGCTGAGAAGAACAAGGAAGGAAGGCAGCCACACAGGACAGTGCTATGGCTTTGCCCATGGTCAAGGGAGCTTTGTGCAGGAGACAGCCCTCCTGGTTTCCCATGAGGAGAGAATGGGCTCTGCTCTTGTCCACGCTGCTCTTTGGCCTGGCTGGCCCAACACGTCTCTTCCAGCCGAGCCTGGTACTGGATATGGCCAAGGTCCTCTTAGATAACTACTGCTTCCCAGAGAACCTGATGGGGATGCAGGAAGCCATTCAGCAGGCCATCAAAAGCGGTGAGATCCTGGACATCTCAGACCCTCAGACACTGGCCCGTGTTCTGACAGTCGGGGTGCAGAGCTCCTTGAACGACCCTCATCTGGTTATCTCCTATGAGCCCAGTGCCCTCACAGCTCCTCAGAAAATTACAGCACTCACCAATCTCACACAAGAGGAACTGCTTGCCCAGCTGCAAAAGGGCATCCACCATGATGTTCTGGAGAGCAACGTGGGCTACTTGCGGGTGGATGACATTCCAAGCCAGGAGGTGGTGAGCAAACTCGGGGACTTCCTGGTGGCCAACATCTGGAGACAGCTCCTGGGCACCTCCGCCTTGGTGCTAGACCTCCGACACTGTACTGGAGGCCATGTTTCTGGCATCCCCTATGTCATCTCCTACTTGCACCCAGGAAACACGGTCCTGCATGTGGACACCATCTATGACCGTCCCTCCAATACGACCACTGAGATCTGGACCCTGCCCCAGGTCCTGGGAGAGAGGTACAGTGCTGACAAGGACGTTGTGGTCCTCACCAGTGGCCACACCGGAGGAGTGGCTGAGGACATTGCTTACATCCTCAAACAGATGCGCAGAGCCACCATCGTGGGTGAACGGACCATGGGGGGTGCCCTGGACCTCCAGAAGCTGAGAATAGGGCACTCTGATTTTTTCCTCACTGTACCTGTGTCCAGATCCTTGGGGCCTCTTGGTGGGGGCAGTCAGACGTGGGAGGGCAGTGGGGTGCTTCCTTGTGTGGGGATACCAGCTGAGCAGGCCCTAGAGAAGGCCCTGGCCATTCTCACACTGCGCAGGGCCCTGCCAGAAGTCATGCGACACCTGCAGGAGGCCCTGCAGGACTACTACACTCTGGTGGACCGTGTGCCTGCCCTTCTGCACCACCTGGCTAGCATGGACTTCACCATGGTGGTTTCTGAGGAGGATCTGATCACGAAGCTCAACGCTGGTCTGCAGGCTGTGTCTGAGGACCCTAGGCTCCTGGTACGGCCAATCAGGCCCAAAGAAACCCCTTCTGGGCCTGAGGCTGGAGCCGATGACCTACCAGAGGTGGCCCCAACAGTGCCAGAGGATGAGGTTGCCCGGCAGGCCCTGGTGGACTCTGTGTTCCAGGTGTCGGTGCTGCCAGGCAATGTGGGTTACCTGCGCTTCGACAGATTTGCTGATGCCTCTGTGCTGGGGGCACTGAGCCCATACATCCTACGCCAAGTGTGGGAGCCTCTGCAGGACACAGAACACCTCATCCTGGACCTGCGCCAGAACACTGGGGGGCCATCCTCCGCTGTGCCCATGCTGCTGTCCTACTTTCAGGGCCCTGAGGCCAGCCCTGTACGCCTCTTCACCACCTACGATCGCCGCACCAATGTCACCCAGGAGCACTTCAGCTGCACAGAGCTGCTGGGCCAGCGCTATGGCTCCCATCGCGGGGTATACCTGCTCACCAGCCACCGCACTGCCACGGCTGCTGAGGAACTGGCCTTCCTCATGCAGTCACTGGGCTGGGCCACGCTGGTGGGTGAGATCACTGCAGGCAGCCTGCTTCACACCCACACGGTGCCTCTGCTGGACACCCCAGAGGGTGGCCTGGCACTCACAGTGCCTGTGCTCACCTTCATTGACAACCATGGTGAGTGCTGGCTCGGGGGTGGTGTGGTGCCTGATGCCATTGTGCTGGCTGAGGAGGCCCTGGACAAAGCACAGGAGGTTCTGGAGTTCCACCGCAGCCTGGGAGCCTTGGTAGAGGGCACAGGACGCCTGTTGGAGGCCCACTATGCACGGCCAGAGGTTGTTGGGCGGACAGGAGACCTGCTACGAGCCAAGCTGGCCCAGGGGGCCTATCGCACAGCTGTGGACCTGGAGTCACTGGCCTCCCAGCTCACAGCTGACCTGCAGGAGATGTCTGGGGACCACCGTCTGTTGGTGTTCCACAGCCCAGGTGAATTGGCAGCAGAGGAGTTGCCCCCGCCACCCCCTGCCATTTTCTCTCCAGAGGAGCTCTCCTACCTCATTGAGGCCCTGTTCAAGACAGAAGTGCTGCCTGGCCCACTGGGCTACTTGCGTTTTGATGCCATGGCTGAGTTGGAGACAGTAAAAGCCATTGGGCCGCAGCTGGTGCAGATGGTGTGGCAGAGGCTGGTGGACACGGCTGCACTGGTTGTCGATCTGCGCTACAACCCTGGCAGCTACTCCACGGCTGTGCCCCTGCTGTGCTCCTACTTTTTTGAGGCAGAGCCCCTCCAGCACCTCTACTCTGTCTTTGACAGGGCCACCTCAACAGTCACGGAGGTATGGACCCTGCCCCAGTTGGCTGGTCAGCGCTATAGCCCCCACAAGGACCTCTACATCCTGATGAGCCACACCAGTGGGTCAGCAGCTGAGGCTTTTGCTCACACCATGCAGGACCTGCAGCGGGCCACAGTCATCGGGGAGCCCACTGCTGGAGGGGCGCTTTCTGTGGGCATCTACCAGGTGGGCAGCAGTCCCTTATATGCCTCCATGCCCACGCAGATGGCCCTGAGTGCCAGCACAGGCAAGGCCTGGGACCTGGCAGGGGTAGAGCCTGACATCACAGTGCCCATGAGTGAAGCCCTCTCCACAGCTCAGGACATAGTGGCCTTGCGTTTGAAGGTGCCCACTGTGCTACAGACAACCGGGAAGCTGGTTGCTGATAACTACGCCTCCCCTGATCTAGGGGCCAAGATGGCTGCCAAGCTGAGCCATCTGCAGAGCCGCTACTCCAGGGTGACCTCTGAAGGGGCCTTGGCTGAGATGCTGGGGGCTGACCTGCAGGTGCTTTCTGGGGATCCACACTTGAAGGCAGCCCATATCCCTGAGGATGCCAAGGACCGCATTCCTGGGATTGTGCCCATGCAGGTGAGATACAAGAGAGACTTGGCCCAGCACAGTCTCAGGAGGGAGTTGACAAGTTGTCTGTATACTCAGGGTTCAGGGTTCCGTGAGAATTCAGAAGCCAAGACAAAGGCTTCTGAATTTTCATGTTGAAGTTTCATCAGTCACATCTTTCTCTCTCTCTTACTCTGTCATCCCATCCACTCCCATGCCCATTGGGTCCCACAGGAACTCAGTTTGAAAACCCCTGTTACAGAGGAGCTACATTCTTATCAGGGTATTTGCAGGGCTTCTCATCATCAGTGTTGGAGAAAGAGGTCAGTAAGTCACATGAGATCACAGTTTCCACCTCTGGAAATGTGGCCCTTCTGTTAATACCACCTGCTTGCCTCAGGGGTCTGCAGTGTGTGGATGAATCAAGGGGATAGAGACAGGGAAGCAAGGGAGGCCTTGGCCTCACAGCGCTTTGGAACTAAAGCATGGAGCCTGAACAGACCCTGGCTTAATCAGGGGTGGCAGGGCACAATCAGGGGTGGCAGGGCACAGCTCAGAGAACCACAGCAATGAGTTTTGCTTGGTTAGGTACTGACTGCCTTCTCCTCCCCTCCCATGATGCAAAGCACTGCACCCTGAAGGAGCTGTACGGGATGGGCATGTGGCCAGATCCAAGGGCCAACTGGATGGGAAATTCTGAGTGAGGCTGCGTGGTCAGAATATTTCAAGTTTGGGGAAACACTGAATAGGTGAATCAGTGCTGAAGAGTTTTGTGGCTGCTGCTGGGTGGTTGAGGGCAAGTTCTCCAGACCAGTGGCTAAGGGAAGCCATTAGGACTCACCAAGCACTCCCATCAGGTGAAAGCTCTACCCAAAACAGCATGTACAACATCTCCCCACATCTTCTATCATCTGTGATTTCAGTGCATAGTCAGGGAATCTGTTTTCTTGAGTTCCCTTAAAAGCAGGGCCTAAGACCAGGGTTTGGGTATAGGCAACTTACCTGGGAGGTAGACACTGCAGCAGGAGTGAGGGAGCAGGTAGAGTGAGAGCAAAGGAGGACAGCTGACAAGCAGGTATATTATTTGTTCCATAAGACTTGGACAAGTATGAGGAGTGTCTCCCAGAGCTACCCTCTGCAGCACTTGTCCTCCATTGGCTGAGGGTTCCCCTGGGATACACGATTGCTCTGAAACTCTGAAGAAGCTTGGAGAGAGTTCTGAAGTGGAGAGTAGAAAAACACAGGGGTGTGCTGGAGGCAGGGCCTTGTCAGCTGGGGTCCAGTTACTGCTGAAATCAGAGGAGGGCTAAGGGCACCAGAAGCATCTATTGTAGAATTATTCTATTCTACAAAAACAGAAACTGAGGTCTGGAAAGGTACAGAGGACAGTGTTCTGTCATCAAATAGCTTGCTACTGAGGCTGTGTGTCCCAGGCAACAGTGATATCCTGATGGCTCCTTGCCCTTAGTCCAGCTCACAAAGCCCACAGACTTCTAGCAACCTTGGAGAAAAAGGAGGAGGCCCAGGCATGTTAGGGGAGCCTAGTGCTGCCAGGACAGCACTAGTCTGACAGTGCCGCCATATTCAAACTGGGGGCTAACTCCTTTCCAGCGCAGTCAGAGTTCACAGTTTGGTGTCACATGTGGATTCAGATTCTGTGTCTACCACTTACTTGGCTGTGTGACCTTGGGAAAATTTATTGAATTACTGTATGTTTCAGTTCCTTATTAAAACTATGGGGATTAATTGACTCCTCTACCTACAGGGTGGCCATGAGACTGATGGTTAAGTGCTGGAAAGTGCTTAGTACAGGGCCAGGCCCGATAGCCAATGTTGTTTCTCCCTGCCCTGAAATGAGGGGGTATGGGGGCTCAAGGACATCAAGAAGTATCTGGTGAGGTCAGGGGAGACAGAGTGGAGATAATTTCTGGACCTTTCAACTCTAGACATCAGGGCACAAGGTTGGTACACATGAGCATTCTTGTAAGGAGCCTGCTGACCATGCGTGGGACTATCAGAAAAGGTTCTGGTACCCACCACCTCCCTCAGAATTACCTTTGCATACTCTTATTATTTCTCTCAATATGAAAGAAATCTTTGGTGTCCAATTTCCCAAGCTTTAAATTCTTCTCCCCTCCTGACTCTGAGCTGAATCTCTCAATCTTTCAGATCCCTTCCCCTGAAGTCTTTGAAGACCTGATCAAGTTTTCCTTCCACACTAATGTGCTTGAGGACAACATTGGCTACTTGAGGTTTGACATGTTTGGAGACTGTGAACTGCTCACCCAGGTATCAGAGCTGCTGGTGGAGCATGTGTGGAAGAAGATTGTGCACACAGATGCCATGGTTATTGACATGAGGTCAGTGGGCCAACCATCAGTGGTTCTTGGCCTGGCCAGGGTAGCTGCTGAAAGACAGTCAAAGTTATGGGCCTATTAGAGAAGAAAAAGGACCCTGGGACACAGGATAGGATTTGAAAGGACTAGGTCATCTGGCTATCAGGGGTTCTGGTTTAATTGGCTGGGTGAGACCCCAGCACTGATAGATTTTTAAAGTCTCTCCAATGATCCCAATGTGCATTCCAGGATGAGAATTACTGAGTTAATTCAGTGGTCCCCAAATGTGCCTGACTGCAAGACTCCTTGGAGAGGGAGAGGGAAAGAAGACATGAAGAACACACTGATTCCAGTGCCCCACCCTAGCCCTACTGAGTACAAAACTCCAGGGGTGAGGCCCAGTGGTCTACATATTTGAAAGGAATCATCCAGGTCTTTCTGATGATCAGTCATGTTTGGGACAATTGGGTCTCTACCTGTGGTTGTGGCTCACATTATACAGAATCAATCTATGACCAACCTGATCATAAGAATCATAAAGCTAGAGTCCCAGAGAGAATTTACAAATTAGTCTCTACTGTTGTAAAAAGAATTCTTTGCCTTACAAAATTATTTTTGGAGGGAAGATATCAGCTACCCACCTCCTCCTGCTTCTGTAAAGGTGTGCCTGATAGGTGTGTTTCCCTCCTAGAATAGGATCATGTTTCCCATGCCTCCCAGGTCCACCAGCAGGCTTGCCTGGGCACCCTCCATGGCAAGGGGAAGGTCAGGCTACCAGACAGATACTGCTGGGATTGGCTAAGATGGAGTGTCCAGTTCTGGTGGTTGGCTCGAAACATTCCCAGGGTTTTTAGTCATCACTAGGTTGCTCTGGATCCCAGCAGGTGGTTCTCCTCCCTGGGGGGAAAAAAACTGTTTCCAGGGTTCCAGTGTATGTACCCAGAACTTGAGCTTGGGGGCTCCTGTGTGGTCTCTGATCTCTTCATTCTTCAAATGCTCTATTAAACATCTGAACAAACTGCATGCTAAGTACCTATCTGCTTAATGGTGCCATGCACATTTTTTTTAAAGGATGCCCAGCCTACAGGTATACTTTGCTTAAGGACCCTTCCAATCTGAGGTTTGGAAGTTCAGATGCTGAGATCATGGGCCCCGAACTCAGCCAAGTCATCCCAGACCATCAACCAGAAGAGGCTCCTAACACACTGCCAGCCCTGCACTCTTTGTTTCCCAATTGAAAAGACAGGGGCTCAAGAAAATTGTCATGTGGGGCAAATCTAAATGGCCTAGGATTGGTGCAGTCTTTTTCATTTCTGGTGCAATTTCACAACTCTGAGCACTCAGCCACATTAATCGCCTCATTAAGACACCTAGTAGGTTTTGTGAAAATATTTAGAATGAATCTGGGAGGACAGTGTTCCCAAGATGTGTTCCATTCACAGGAAGCAAAGGTACAGGGGAGCAGTCCATGGTCAGTAAGTTAGGAAAATTTATCAAGAAGTTCCTGATGGTAGGACTTGTAAGAGCCTTTAATGTAATGTATACAGTTTGTATCATACATTGTATTATTCTGTGATCAGAAGAGGTAGGTATGGTCTGCAGTATATTCTAAATAAATTTGACCTTGAAAGAAAGAAGACTCTTTCTTTCAAGAGATTGTACTCTGGGGAACTCCATCCAAGGAATCCTGTAGAATGAGGGCACTAGACTGAGGCGGTCTGGAATTAGAACCCCCCACAGGACAAAGATCTAGACCTCCCAGGGGGCAGCAAGGCCCTCAGTGTGAGATCTCTTCTCAGGGGCCTCCATTCCCTTCCCTCAGGTTCAACATTGGTGGCCCCACATCCTCCATTTCTGCGCTGTGCTCTTACTTCTTTGACAAAGGCCCTCCCATTCTGTTGGACAAAATCTACAGCCGGCCCAATGACTCTGTCAGTGAGCTCTGGACACACACCCAGCTAGCAGGTGGGTGCAAAAGTCTTTTCCTTTCTGTTCTCATTCTAGAAGTTTCTGGAGAATTAAAGAAAGACAGCTTGGGTTCAGGTAAAAGTAATAGTAAAAGGAATATAAAGTCTCTATCCTATGCCATGCACTTTGCACATATGATTCTTTTTTAAACCTGTGCTCTCTCTCTTTTTTCCTTTCTTTTCTTAAAGATTTTATGGATGTATTTAGTTTTAGAGAGAGGGGAAGGAAAAGATAAAGAAAGGGAGAGAAACATCAATGTCCACTGAGTAGAATATCCTGCCTAATATCACTCAACTAATAAGTGAAAGCGCCAAAACTTAAACACTGGTTTGTCTAAAACCAAATGCCTCCATTCTTCCCATTACAACCATCTACCTATAAGACAGATACAGAACCAAAAGAATCCCCCTGCCAATCACCAGATCCCATAGGGTTTTTAGTGTTCATCTAACCTGAACTCTCATCAGCAGCTCAGCGCACCTACCTAAATGAAGTTCTTATGCTGGCAGGGCTTCTGTTACCTGCCCTAGACCCAAAACAGTGACCAGAGGGGCAGGGAAGGCCCCTGTGCTTTACAGAGCCATGGCCTTCCCAGGTTTTTTGCTAGTGGAAAGCCTCATTCCATCCCACTTGCCCAGCATCCCAAACCAAGGAATTTGCTCTCCCATCAAAAACAGGAAGCTGGGAGAAGAATAGGGGTATGCATATAACCAGAAAAGCACCCTGAAAATTTCACTTGTACAGTTCCTTATCACATAAGCATTTGGAACTTCCAGCACACATGTTCAACAATATTGAAAAATGTAAATAAAAAATCAGAACCAGGTGAATTGTAAATTCAAACAGACATTTAAGACCAGGAGTTACAAATAGACTCAGATCTTCAGATCATTGCATCCTAGAACTTTAAATTCCATATGGGAGCCTCTGAGCATGGAAATGTGGCTCATATGATTTCTGATATGTAAAGTGTAAAGTGAATGCCAGATTTTGAAGACATTTCATAAAGGAAAAGGATTTAAAATATGTCATCAATAATTTTATTAACTACATTTTTGAGATAAATATATATTTTATATATTTAGTTAAATAAAATTTATTAAAATTTATTTCATCTGTATCTTTTTACTTGTTTAATGTGGCCACTAGGAAACTTAAAATGACAACTGTGGCTTGTATTCTGGCTCATGTTTCATTTCTTTGGATATCATTTTCCTGTAGGATTGTTGTCAAGTCACAGATTTGGCTCTTCTGAGGGCCCAAGGTGAAAAGGTATTTTGGTCTGGTTAACTTTTTGTTATTAATTTCTTTTTATTTTTATAATTAATAAAAATTGTTAATAATAAAAAGGAAATGTACATTTTCCTTTCCTGGAAAAAAATCAAGCCTTTTTCCATTACTTGGTGAGAAAAGAATCTGCATGGAGGTGGGCGGGCTGGGAAGTACTTCCTGATCAAGATAGGGCACAAGCTCTTAACCCCATTTTACAGATGCAGAAACTGACGCTCAGGAAGGTGGAGTGACTTGCATGTGGGTGCAAGGATGAGGAACTAAATGTCAGGCCCTCTTCTCTGTGGGTCCAGGCAATATAGAGAAGACAGGTCTCCCAGGGGGTGACTTGACAAGCTAACTTGAAGTGCCTTCTCGTTTGCAGGTGAACGCTATGGCTCCAAGAAGAGAGTGGTCATTCTTACCAGCAGTGTAACGGCCGGGGCGGCGGAGGAATTCACCTATATCATGAAAAGGCTGGGCCGAGCTTTGGTCATCGGGGAGGTGACCAGTGGGGGCTGCCAGCCTCCACAGACCTACCATGTGGATGACACACACCTCTACATCACCATCCCCACAGCCCGTTCAGTGGGGGCTACAGACGGTAGCTCCTGGGAAGGGGTGGGAGTGGTGCCTCATGTGACTGTTCCTGCAGAGGCAGCCCTCACCAGGGCCAAGGAGATGCTCCAGCACACTATGATAAGATCGAGTTGGGGACCTGGCCAGCAGGGCCCCCCAGAGGGCTTCCATGGACAGAGCCCTGTGGTAGGCGGGACCTCTGGGCCACACACCAAGGGACCTCAGGTCCTTGGTTTTGCCTGAGGACCCAGGGTGCAGAAAAGGGGCCTGCTGAGCTCCGGTTAGGCTTAGAATTGTAAGTACCCTTGGAGCTCATTCACCTGGTCTTATCACCACTGTCATCATCCTCTCTGTTTGGACACCTGGGGAACTGACATTCTCAGTAATACTTGTTTTGCAGTGGTGCAGTCCAGATCTACCCCCAGCCATGCTTCTTAATCACCAGTCCCTGGTCCTCATGCTGTCAGCTAGAAAGCACAGCTCTATCCAACCGAGTTATACGGTGAGTCACAGATGCCAGGACCATGCGTCAATTCACATTTTTTGTAGCCACATTTAGAAAAGTAAAAAGATGCAAGTGAATTAATTTCAGTAATATATTTTATTTAACCCATTATATTCACAGCAGTATCATTTCAACACATACTCAATATAAAAATTATTACAAATGAGATGTTTTTGTACAAAGTCTTTGAAATTTTCCAGCACATTCCCATTCTCATGTGCTACATGTTTAGTGCTTAATGACCATACATAGCTGGTGGCTACCTGTGAGACAGCACAGGTCCAAAGATAAGGGCCCACCACTCCTCTAGAACTGTCCTCTAACACTGTCCTCACTCTTCCCTTCCTGCACCTGCACCTCCCTTGTTAGAACAACTCTCCCACTCTATCCCAGACCATGTCTGTCTCCACCATGCAGACATGGTGCCTGGTGCCAGTGGCAGATGCCTGTGAACACAAGTGGATATCAGGCTGCAAGTCTTCATTTTCCTCAGGTGGCAGCCCTCAAACACTTGAAGAAAAGTCCAGGTTCACTTGGAATCCTCTCTTCCCTGTCCCAGCCCCTTCCAATTCAATTCTACACAGCAAGTCTACCTTTCCTTCACATGTACCTCCCATGCCCTTATTCTCCAGCTCTGCCAAGGTCCCAAAAGCTCAGCATCCTGGTGTGCTAGGCTGCTGCTGAGGGGAAGGCAGTCCTGGACAATGGTCTGGGTACTTGGCCTGTTCATCCAAGTATAGCCTGTTACTGCTGTCTCTGGTGACCAGGCCCAATCCTAGCAGGATGAGAAGCTTTTAGCATGTAGATCCCAATACCTCCTCCAAAGAGGCAACCTTGGGGAATGAGGTTCCTGGATGTCCCAGGTGTCCTGGGAGCCATATAACCTTGCTCCACTGGAGTCACTAGAGACCCAGAAGTGAGAGACCTTGAGGACCCCTCCCAAAGTCATGGTGGGAGTGAGGCTGGAAGAGCAGAGTGGGCGCCAGCTCCAAGATGTCTGAGTGAGGATGAGTACTGGTACCTTCTGGCCTTCCTGCCTATTGAATCCAGGCAGCATCTGCGCCACAGACCACTTCCCCCAGGGCACTGGGCTGACTTTACTACACAATCTTGACTTCCCTGGACCCAAGAGAGTTGTGGAATCTGGGCACACTGCTGGGCCACCACCAATACCAAGGACGTTTGCCACTGGAAAACTGAAAACAGCTCTGTCCAAACAGGACAGTCCAAATGGAAGGCAAGATTTTACCTCTTTTCCTTCTGCTAAATTGAAATAAGCTTAAGTGCATGACTGAATTTTAGTACTATTGTATACTGTGATCTCACCTTTTTCTTCATTAGCCCTATTAAGGTTCAGGCAAATGTGTGGCCCCTGATATGCTTACATTCTTGGGTTCTGTCTTTTCCCACCTCTCTTCTTCCTTCTCTCTCTCTCTCTCTCTCTCTCTCTCTCACACGCACACACACGCAAACATACAAAATACAGACACACAAGATAGAGATCTGGGAGCCACTTCTGACTTTCTCCTCTCAGCCCCCTGTGTACCTACCCTGTACCTGCACAATCATCAGGACCCAAGAAAAGTTATCTGAATTAATAGCGCTCTGTTCTAGGCCCACCTGCAATCTGTCTCCCTTGTCTTGGGGTCCTGGATCTATGTGTAAATCCCCACCACAGCCTCTTGTCTCATCTCTGTGCTTCAGCGTCCAGCCAAAGCTTCTGCCCTACCATGCAACCTTCTCATGTTTCCCCCCTGCTTGAGTACTCCTCAAGGGTCCCACTGCCCAGCAGTGAGAGGGGCTGGGCCAGGCTGTTGTCTGCCTCCTGTTCCCCCAGCATAGCAAAGGGCTTGTGATGTGTCAGGTTTTCCATGCTCTCTAGCACCCCCTTGCTCCCCAGAACCTGCTCTGATGTCACCTGGTCAGATGAAGCCCTTGATTTCTCTGTGCACTTCCAGTCCCCTGAACACCTCTACCACAGTGCTTGTCTCTCTTGTATCATTAGTCTCCCCAACTGTTCTGTGGGGCACTTAGGGATAGAAACTTAGCTTGCTTGTATCTGCTCCTCCAAGCCCAAACAAGCTTGGCAACTGGCAGGAAAGCTCAGCACACCATGAATGAATGAATGGATGGATGAATGGATGGATGAATGAATGGGGCCCCTCTTTACTGAAAAGGCATTATTATGTGATGCAGGTATTCAAGGGGTCTTATGTATCTGGCCCTCCTGGAAACATGGTAAGGAGGGAGGTCAACCAAGAGCAAGAAATGAGGGCTGAGGGTGGCCCTTTGTCCCTCTACCCATTGGTGCTGGAGTGGTTGTAGGACTCCAGATGGGCTGTGTTGCAACAACAGCAACTCAGACCACATTCTGGGCAGCCAAACCATGGGGTCATTATATGGATAAAGAATCACATAGCATGCTGAGTCCATCTCTCCCTTCTGTACCATCCCAGTCATATCCCAAGTAGGTCAGGCCAGCCACAGCAAGTGGTGGAGGCACAGAAGACACGGGACCAGATATGCGCAGCAGAGGATGGGGATGGGGCGATGGGGCACAGAGCTAGGGTGAGTGGGATAAAGGGAAGTGCCTCAGAGTTCCAGGGACCCACGTCCAAATGTTGTCCAACAGAAGCAAGCCATGACTGTGCCAGGATCTGTGTAATTAGAAGAGTAAAGGAATGGTGACTTTCACCATCAGGATTCTTGCTAGATACCTGACTCACCCTCACGCTAGGAAGCAGGGGCCAGGGACTTACCCAGGAAGGAGTGTGAAGGGGTCACCTGCCAGATCCCATAGGTCCTTTCTTTTCAGGGAGGGCTGGAGCACCAGAGGAGGGGACCAGCTCTTCCCCAATTTTACTCTCCTGCTTCCCATGTCCCTGTATCTGCCCACACATTTGTAGGGCTCAGTTATCTACACAGCTTTAGTGAAAGGAGAGGACATAGCACAAAAAGAAAAATGATGCTGTCCAAATTACACTGGTAGACAAGGAAACCTTCCTCCAAAGTCCCCATGCTATGGTGCCCATCTTGCATTTCCTAGCCCTTGAGGATTAATGCCACTTGGCCTAAGGACCTATTTATTGCCTTACTGAACAGGACAGCTGGTGCTAAAAATAGCCTCCTAATCCAAGCAGCTTAGAATAGCAAGGGTAGCAGAGGCCACTGGCTTCCTGTCTCCTGTCCTAGAAAAACACAGTATGGTCAGGCAAGAAAAAAATTGAATTTAGTGAACCCCAACCCTCCTCCCAGCATGCACTATCTCCTCATTCCACATTCAATATTGGCTTCCAAAAATTCTTTTCTCCTAAGTGGCACAAATCAAAACACATAGGAAAAGTGGATTTATTTTCTATAGGATTTATATCCTGCTACACGATCTTAAACTTCCTACATGATTTCAACTACAAAAAAATCAAAAAACACCATGCAAATAGCCAGAATGTATTAACCATTTTTCTGAAAAGAAGTGGCCTGCAGAGGAGGCCTGCTACCTCTAAGAGATGCAAGCACCTTCCAAAATAAGGGAGGATGCATGTTTCACCTTGAGAGTACTGCTGCCTTTCACCCTAAGGAGAATTCTCTTCCTGTGCCCAGATGGATAGGGCTGTATGGATGAGGTTAAATAGTGCCAGGCCGAGCACCTGGCCTGTTTGCAGACTGGGACCATAATAGAGTTAAGGATGCCCAGCTGGTGATTCCTGCCTCTCCTCATCATCACCATCACTAATATGCTTCCTTAAGTCTATGCATTTCATTTTGGCCTCCAGTCCCTGGGTGCCCAAAGACCCAAGACCATAGGAAAAGTAGATGAGAGGACAGAGCCTGTAGGAAAATAGTGGTAAAGACAGCAAAATAGCACGGGCTGCCTTGATGTTAAGATGGCTTGATGTTAAGAGGCTACCTTCTTAGGTGTGGAGTGCTGGGGAGCTTTTACTGAACTTGGAAGGCAGGAGGGAAATTTCCAAAAGACATGTTGCATATCAAAGCCAAAGAATTGGAGTGCAAAGAAAATTAAATATGATGTAGAGAATTTAAGGAATGTGACGATTTTTAGCCAAGAAATGTAGAGGAAAATTCATACCTGCTGATGTGATGTCTTGTGGCAACACAACCAGCCAACCCGTAAATGGAATAGAAGGTGACAGAGAGAGGGCAAAGTCATGATTAAAAGTGACTACTCTCCTGTAGAGAAAGGAGGGCAGGAGAAAAGAGTGAATTAACAGGATTCGACTGCCAAGAAGACTTTGGGAAACCAGCCTGGTGTCAAGTAGTAACTGTCACATTAATAAGTTGCAAACCATCACCTCTATAAGTCATCTTTCAGTCTGTCAATTTAAATGTCTGCAAAGCAACTTGCATTTACCTCAATTTTTACCAAAATAAACTCCATTGTCAAAGTCAATTTTTATCAAACTAAATTCCATCTTGAAAATCAAGTTGGGTAAAGATGTTTTGTTATGCTTCTTCATAACTTGAATTAATTTAATTAGCTTAAATTTATCTTTTTTTCATAACATCTCCCTTGGTTTTGATTTCTGTGGTTCCTTGAGGAGTGCAGCAGGCTAGGAAGACTCACAGACTGAGTTCTGACAGGAATTTCAGGAATCCTGGCCTTGACCTCACCACCACTTGCCCTACAACACTCTATGTCCAGCTTATCAGTGGACATAAATGCTTACTGCTGTAAAATGAGGGAATGGACTAGAATTCTACAATCTCAATTCTAAATTTCTATTTTTGTCTTAGCATAATGCATTTATCCCTCTCAAAATGATTTCAAAAATATTATGAACCAATCCAATAAGCCAGAGGAGGATGGCTATGCACACAGTTTGACACATGTCAAAACTCCTGTTGTTACCAAACAACAAGAGGTCCGAGAGAGGGGCAATACAATATTTGGCCCACCTAGGGATGCCCAAAACTGCTATACAACAGGGGCCCCTCCCAAAAACAAAATACTAAAATCTACTGGGCCCTTCTGTCCGCCGCCAATTGGAAAGACATCTCTTAATGCCAGAGATTTGTGAAAAGGAAACAAAATGTTTATTTAATGCTATTCAGGCTTAATGCCACCACTAAAATATCAAAGTCCTTTAGGGTATACACCTACACCCACACAGCGCTCCCTTCTCCCACTGTCCCAACTCCGGGTACCGTAAATCAGGAAAAGAGCACACGTCTGTATTGCAGGCCGCTGGCACCGTCAGCTGTGTCACTGTGCAGGATCTCGAGTTAATCCAAAGTACTGTGGTACCCTCTCATGGTCCACTGGCAAGAGTCCTTTGTACCCAGTTCCAGTCAAAGTCTCTCTTGCTTTTCAGGCTCCGTGGCCAAAGGGGGCACCCCAAAGCCGTGTGGGCCTCTTCTACCAAAGCTGCAGGAGTCCACACTCCACCAAAAGCATGTGGCTTTCTTCTTCACCTGGCTGCAGGGATCTCCATTCTGGCAAAGCTGCGTGGTTCTTCCCTTTCACCTGGGAAAGAGGGGGTCCGCACCCTGCCAAAACCGCGTGGCTCCCTCTTTCACCTCACCAAGAGGGGGTCCTCACTCTGCTGAAACCGCGTGGCTCTCTCTTCATCTGGCCAAGCGGGGGCCCTTCATGTCTTGGATCCAGCCTTTTCCAAGCTCCCACACAGGCACTCCTCACTCCGGAGCGCAGACCCTAGTTCCATCTTGAGTCCCCTGCTACTCCCTTCTCCCTGGCTCCAAACTTGGCCACAGCTATTTAACATATCTATGAAACCAGTTAAAGGTTATAGATATGTTAAATAATCATTCCAGAGGTTAGCTGCAAAACTGTTGCTATGCAAAACAGCTCTCAATGGCCTGGCTCCACTCATTTCTTTCCCCTGGGGGGAGGGGGGAGGACATCTTATACGTCTCTCCAATATTCCTATACACTTTGAATTCTGGACACCATTCCAAATCTTTTTTGGGGCCCCCCCTGGCTGCACCCTGTATCACTGTGAGAAGTTGATTCAAGGTTTGTCAGCAGCAAGGCTGGAACCAGGCATTTCATTCATTCCTTCCACGAATGAGAAAAAGAAGGTGATCAAAACTATGAGCAATAAAATGACTACAAACTCACAACTATCAACAACTGAACCTAAAAACAAAAACAAACTAAGCAAACAACTAGAAAAGAAACAGAATCACAGAAATGGAGACCACATGGAGGGTTATCCATGGGGAGGCAGAGGGAGGAGAATGAAGGAAAGGTACAGGAAATAAGAAGCTTAATTGGTAGATACAAAATAGGGGGAGGTTAAGAATAGTATAGGAAATGGAGAAGCCAAAGAACTTAACATGTATGTTCCATGGACATAAACTAAGTTGGGGGTGTGAATACTGGAGGAGGGGTGTAGGGAAGAGGGGTGTAAAGGGGAGAAAAAAATGGAACAAATGTACTAGTATAATTAATAAAATATACTAAAACAAACAAAAAATGCCTATTGAACAACCGCTATGTGCCTATGTTCTTCTAGCCACTGGGGATACAGCAGTGCGCAAAGAAGCAAAAATTCCCCCACAAAACTTATGTTCCATTGATGGAAGACACAGTAAACACGACAAATCAGTAAAACAACATAGTACTCAAGATAATAAAAAATACTAAAGAGAAAGGCAGAAGAAATGTGTGTGTGTGGTGGGGAGGCAGAGTGCAAGTTGAAATCAATGCCTGGTCCTAGTTTTTAAACCATTCACGATGACACATGAACACACTGAGGAGATGCGTAGCAGGCTAGGAAGGATGTGAGCTCAAAATGAGGAAGAAGATCCTGGGGTCTTGTTTTTGCACCCATGGTCTTAGGAAAGTCAGTTAACCCTTTGGAGTTTAGTTTCTTCTGCAGTAAAATGAAAATTAAATATCTATCTCCTGGGTATGACAGGGGAATTAAATGGTATACGTCAATGCATACTGTGGAGCCTCAGGATCAAACCTTTTCTGCCCCACAGGGGACAGCAGAGGAGGGAGGCTCGCAGCTTCAGACTGATTTGGGCACAGCATCTCTGTGGGCAAATTCTGCCCCCACATAGCTCCCAAAGGGGCTGGCCCACAGATCATTCCTAGTGTCTCTCAGGGAGAGGGGATCCTCCAAGATTCCCTGTGAGAATGGAGGTGCTCTGTTGGTGCCTGCAGGGGAACACTTCTGGCTTCTTCCAACCGCAAAAGAAAATGCCTCAGGGGGTCATCTCCTCTCTCCAGCCCATTCTTCCCTTCCAACTGTAAAGAGTTCCCCTCCAAGTGCTTCTAGGAGTGAGCTCTCCCAAACCCTTATCCAAACTCTTCTCTTTGGAGGCCTTTGTGTTTCCCCTTCTCCTCGAGAGCTGCCTTCCCAGCTCGTCCTCCTCCTGCTGGCCTTGCAGCACCCTAAAACTTCTGCAGCTCTAGATCACTCTTCTCCTTAGCCATTGCCTTCCCTGTCTGAATCAGAAAAGCCTGCTGGACTTTGAAGCTCAGCTCATGTCCCCAGTCCTCAGGAGGCCTCCCCTCCCCACAGGTCCCACAGGTCTGACTTAGGCATGTCTCCCACATTACCAACCAACCTGAGCTCTGTGAGGAAGGCCCCACCAGAGGGCTACAAACCGCAGGTTAGATGAACAAATTCTGAAAGTAAAGTAGAAATCTGTCAAAAAAAAAATTGCCTTGACTCAAAAGAACTACCAAGAAATGACCTTCATAAAACTAGCCTGCATGATGTCAAAGTTTATGACCTGAGGTTAGCAAGGACAAACATGGAAAAGTAGAGGAGAAAATAATAGAAACCAGAACTCTTCCAATCCTCAGTGTTTTCAGCTTTAAACATTTGCTCATATTCCCTTCCTGAGAGCTAAGGATTGTGTGATAGGTGGGGAGGTGTGTTGTTCCATTTTTTTCCCCTTTTCACTTATTCAGAATGTGAAAAATCATGGCTAAATTGTTGATCTCAATTCTTTGTGTTCCTATAGTAGGATGATACACTCACTTGCTCATCATGGCCTCACCATGGGCAGCACACATATTTCACTCCTTTGAATTGGGCTTGGCCATTGACTTGCTTTGGCCAAAGAAACAGCAGAAGTGACCCAAACAGAGGACTGTGTTGGAAACTGCCCTGCCTAGTTTCAGAAGCTGTAATCCCTGTGTCTAAGGATGAGTAAAGGACCTTGGGACCATAAACCACTTAGGAGACAAACCTTATCTTTCTTGTAGTGGCACCACCTCTGTCTCCTTTCTCTTCACTCTGCTTGGCCCCCGGTGGATGACTGGTTAGCCAATGGTGGGTAAGATTCCTCAAAAGAGGGATGACCTAAGACGAGCATGGTCACAAAGGGACCCTCAAAGAGGGACCACAAAGGGGAGGACTTGGGGGGCAATAGAAAAAGGGAGTGATGGACCCTTGCCCCCTGGCTTTGACATAGCCTGAGTACCCATTCTGTCAGCAAGACTTCTCCTAATCTCTTGGCTGCCTTACTTCCCTGGCCTGACTTAAACCTGAAACAATGCTGGAGGTGGGTGTGGCCCTGTCCTGGAAAGGGCCCCGTTCCCTAGGGTAATCAGGCCTAAGAAAGAATGCATAAAATCCTATTAAAACTGCTTTGCTAATACCCTGAATTTAAATGATAAGGGTCCAAGCAGGAAGTGAGTTTGTTCCCCAAAGTTTTACAGCCCTTTAACTATCTGATTCTGACTCAGAATAAGAATAAGCCCTTGTAGTTCTTTGACTGTTATCTATTGTTTAATCATTTCTGCCTGACAACAATTGATGAACTTTACATTTACACCCCGTATTCCTGTGTAAATTGAACCCAATAAAAGCCTGTCAAGGCAAGGGTCAGAGTGCTCTCCTCTTTTTTTTTTTTACTTTATTAATTAATTTTATTTAGTTATTTTTCAAGTACAGTTTTTTGTCTATTTTTCCCATCCCAGCCTCCCCCGCCCCTTGCTCCCCAAGAGTGCTCTCCTCTTGAAAGAAAAGCCACACCATCCTATTTCCTCCACAGAACGCCAGGACCTCATGGGGACTGAGACGTGTTTGTGTATTAGGCTTGCCCTCTAGTGCTTTAGCATAACCATGAGAGAAGAATGAACTGGGTAGCCCATCAGTTCCAGAGAAAAAGAGCATGGACCTAACTATGTGACCTGGAGCCAAGCCAGCAAAAACCAAGTCAAGCACAGCTGACCCACAGATCCCCTGGTAAGAAGTAGGTACTCTGGGTTATTTGCCACCTAGATTTGTTTTGTAACAAATCTGGATCATGATAATACATGTTATTTACACAGTGATCGCACTGCTCTAGGCGCTGTGTTGGCCATTTTCCTTACATTTTTTTCCACGTAACTCCCTAAAACATTTCACAAAACACAGATGTCATAAACTACATTTTACAGATGAGAAAACTGGGGCTCAGACAATT